AGAAAACACTGGATATCAGTGCTAATCTTTGTCAGTAATCTCAGTAGTGGACTGATCACTAAACTTGATGCATTTAAGTCACTACACCCATACTCTCATGAAGGACAACCATCTAAAGGCCATGGAAGGAATGTTCACAGTGAGACAGCCTCTTTAGTCTGACATGTGACACCTGGCATTGCAAAATCCTGCTCCAGGAAGGGTGCTCCAGGGTGTTTCTGTCACCTGTAATACAAATAGCTGCTTGGCTTTTAGGAGGTTTTGAATAAAGCCCTTCAGAAACAAGAGAGAGGTTCAAAAAGCCTCAGTGTTTTGCTTGGGTCCCATTAAGCTGCTACTTCCATGTATTGTTTTCCTGTTGCAGCTGGCAAAATATTTCGGTACACAAAGAAGTGTTTCTTCCAGACTCCCTATTTCTCCTGTATGGTTTTGCAACCTAAAGCCTGACATGTAGGTGTTTTAGCCATACTAAGTGATAACTTCACAAACACAGAATTGAAGTATTGCTGCAAAAATCAGACAGGAAGAGGCAGCAGAGAGAAGAAAGTATGTTATAACTGGGTAAGATAATGCAGAAGAAGGTTCAGGGGTGGTTTGGTAGAAGGCTTTGGTTACAGTGCCGGTGTTTTGCCAGAGTATCTTCTCTTTGAAGGGAAACATTCACTAGCAGGCAGGGGCTGGTGGGCTTGGTTCCCAGGCTCTCTGGCATCCCTCTGTGTCTCTAAGTCCTTACTCTGCAGGTGTTTTAGAACACTGGATCTATGTGTTAGTGTGTAGCTACTGCTGGAGTTGCAGGCTGTGTGAAGCAGCTGGGGTTGGCACTGTGAGGTGAAACAAAACAATACCTCTGATAGAAACCAGGCTGTGTGAACAAGGCTGCAAATTCCCTCCTAGAGTAGTCAGGGTTATTCTTGTGCTTTTGCAGGAAACTATATCATGCAGACCCTTTCATAAGCTTGGTGTGCTCACTGCTAGCTCTAACAGTTAAATTATTTAATATTGCGCATAAGCTGTCTGCATTTAGACTATTGTTGTGTTCTTGCTGATGCGGTTTCTCCTGGGTTTGTTTCCACTTGACATACTTATAGAATGTAGTTATATCTCTGTGATGAATGCTAAACAAATGTTCCAAGCTGGTTTGGTTGCCCCATATGAGATGTGGGTGACCAAATGTGGCAGGAACTGTGGTGTGGATCCTGCTCTTCAAGCCAGTAATGCCAGCAGTAGCTACCCTGGGAACAGTGATTTGGGGTGACACAAGTTGTTTCTGCACTGTTTCCTGATACTTCTTTGCCACAAGGGTTTTCCAGTATAGATCTAGCCTCTTAAGTGTTGTAGCCTGAACATACTATGGAAAAAGGGGCTCAGATGACACTGACAGCTCAATTCACTGACAGAATTGTAACACCCTGTTCTTTTGTGCTCAGCTGAGCACTGCGTGCTGTGGTTCCATCTATTTTTATTTATAGAGCTACCTTTCAGTGTGAAGCTGTATTTTTAGAGTGTAAATAATATAGGCAGAATACCATACACTGTTGTATGGGGCTTTTTTATGTGCAAAATTTAGTTTATAATACACAGCCTTCATGTTTCCAGTTTTTGTGTGTTTGCTGCAGGGTGGAAGTTAAGGGGGTGCTGCATGCTGCAGGGAACAACGTGGGATGGGGTTGGCACCCGCAGGGAGCTGGGAGGCACTGTGGCTCTTGCATATTTGCCAGAATTCTGGGGAATATAATTAGTTAAACAAAACTGATATTTAAGCATTCATCTTTGTTTCAGAGCCCTACTGAATAGGGACAGTTTAAATAGGACTACTCTTCAAGCTGTCAGCCACTGCAGGAAGCTAAGGCATAATTTTTAATGATTTTTCAGCCATCAGAGTTGCAAAGGCAAAAATACAATTTTTCCAAAAGACCATCAGGCACACTCTGCAGAGGAGAAGTGGGTTAGGGATGGTTACTAGCACAGGATCTCTAGAGTCTTGATTTCAGCTTCTATGGGACAGGCATCTGTCTATAGTGACTGTATTCAAATTTGAGGAAGGCTGGTGGATAAAAACAAATTTCTGAGAGAAGCTTTGAGCAAATAGAACCATAGAATGGTTTGGGTTGGAAGAGACTTGAAGCTCATCCAGTTCCAACCCCCTGCCATGTGCAGGGACGCCTTCCACTAGAGGAGGTTGCTCCCGGCCCCATCCACCTTGCCTTGAACCCCTGCCAGGGATGGGCCAGCCACAGCTTCTCCAGGCAACTTGTGCCAGTGCCTCAGCACCCTTACAGTGAATTTGTTTCCTGTTGTCCAATCTAAATCTCCCCTCTGTCAGCTCAAAGCCATTCCCCCTTGTCCTGTCACCACGTGCCCTTGGAAAAAGCCCCTCTCCAGATTTCTTGTCAGCCCCTTTAGGCACTGGAAGCTGCTCTAAGGTCTCCCCAGAGCCTTTTCTTCTCCAGGCTGAACAAGCTCAGCTCTCTCAACTGAAGATACAGTCACTGCTGCCAATTAATACGATCACATCATGTATGTCAGCAGCCCCAGCTGACTGCATTGCGTACCTTTCATTAACCCTGCTCCTTTCTCAGAAGAAGCCTGGTCAGAAAGCAGATCCGTTGCGGTAGGGAAAAG